AATAAATAAGATTTTATTAAAAAAATTAAACTTTTTAATAAAAACACAGACAAATTTGTCTGTGTTACAATTTAAGGGATAGCATTATGACTATGAAATAAAGATCATATATTAGCAAATTTAATAAAATGTAATATTGCACAATAAATTACACATAGTAAAAAAGATATAATATTATGTAAAAAAATACACAATATTGTAAAATAAATAATTATAAAATATTATACAAATATATTATAAAATATAACATAAGATATGCGAAATATTTTGCAATATTTTGTACAATATTACAAAAAAATTATTTTAAACTAATTTGAAAATGATTAAAATAGAATGAAATAAATAAAATTAATTAAATATTAATAAAGTTCATATTTTTAAAAAATCTAATATTTTAGACTTTACTAACTACTATTTGTAAAAAAAAACAAACTAATTTAAAATAAATTAAATTAAATCTATCTGGCTTGCAATAAATATATCAATTATGAAGAATAGAATAATTATAAAGAGAAAAAAATATATAATGATTATTTAAATAAATTTAAAATAATTTAAACTAATTTGAATTAATTAAAAACTATTTTTTATATAATTAATAAAATTTCAGTATATTTGCCAAATTTATATTTTGAAATAGTTAAATATTTTTTAAATAAATTCTAAGTATTCAATTACATCTTACTAAATTTTATATAAAGTATATACTATATTTAATTATTTTGATATAATTCAATTTTATTAAATATTATTTACTTTATATAAATATTTTAAAAAAGTTTATTTTTTTTCTTATTCAGTATTAAGGTAACCTCTTTGGCCATAACTTTTTATTAGAAGTTAAGTTTTAGTTACAATGAGGGTACAACTAGCCATACATACAACTTTTGGTTATCTAATTTAAGTAGTCTGCCTGGGGTTCTACACTAGCCACCATACCTATAACCTAACTAGGAGATTATCTATTTAAACCTTCTGGTTATTAACGAGGGTACGACTAGCCACTCGTACAACTTTTGATTGTCTAATTTAAGTAGTCTGCCCTAGGTTCCACACTAGCTGTCATACCTGCAACTCAACTAGGGAGTTATCTATTTAAACCCTCTAATCCTAACCTAATTCTACCAAGTGTAGTACGGGACAGCAAAAAACATCCAATTTTTTTTTAAACGCGCCAAATTTTGAGATTTAACTCAAATCTGATTGGTTAAAAATCTATTTAAACAAATTTTTTATATATTAAACGTTAAATTTTTGATTACATATAAAATTTAAGCTCTAATAACTTTTCAAATTTATAATAAAAATAAAAATCTAATTTAACAGAATTGTAGCTTAGACTAAAAGCAACAAATCTGTAAGACAGATTTTTTTAAAAAATTATTTGTTTATAAGTTATAAACATTTTCGTATTTTATATATAAAAATTGGATGTTTTTTGCTGTCCCGTATTGTACAAATATATATTTTCAAGAAAAGCTATATAAAATTAAAATACAAATATTAAGCTCCGAATTTCAACAGTTCCTGTTTCCTAGTATAATCAAAATCAAAATTATATTTTTTTCGAAGCTGTGATCAATAATCAATCCTCAAGATAATATCTAGTGAAATTAGCCTCTTTACATTTTTTAAATGAAATTTAAATTCATTTAGCCATTATCAAGAGTATATCCAAATATGTAAAAAAAAAAAAACCTCTAAGCAATGATTGGGTCCAAAATGTCTTGAAAACAAATTCAGTTTAGATATATGATGAAAAGTCAAGCTATATTCAATAAAATAGGTAGATGAGAATAATTAAATGTTAAATGTATAACCATGATATTTGGCTTATAATGCAAAAAGAGTCTTAACATTGAGTTTACGTAGATAATAACGTGGATGCCAACCAAATTTCGAGTTTGATTTCATCGATAGTCTCAAAGCGCCATTTCAAAATAAGGTACTTCAAAAATTTTTGGCGTAAAAGGAAAAAACATAGATAGTATAAAAATATGAAATAACAAAATTTTTTTTGTATAAAAAGAATACCAATTAAATTGTAAGATATAAATGTTAGCTTATAGATGAAAACTATCTTTTTTCACAAATCATATAGATCGCCATAAACTTTATATGTGCTGCAACTTGTAGATCCCTTAATTAAATCATTACCCTGAAAATTTTCTGACATTACACTTGACCGGTAATTTGAAAAGCACTGTAAATCAACGAAATAGGATCACAAGTAATGGTTAGTACTGTATTAGCGTTAGCTAGTTAATCAGTTAACCGTACCGTTAGTTGATTTTTGCCAAAGTAAGCGATTAATCAATTTTACATGTCTGGTTGTGATCATCCAATCATGAAAGCCTGTTATTCTTGTCATTGAACCCGAATTTGGTAAATTAACGTGAAATGGTGACAGATAATACGTAAAAGACAATGATTATAACGATAAAGCAAGTCTAATTTTTCCTTTTTTTGCAAAGTCTAGATTTTTTTCGCACGTACAGTATTTTAATTGTCGTGTACACCATCTTTTTACATTTTGCAAAGAAATGGAATTATTCTACAAAAAACTTTCCGATGATTTAACAGATCTTCTTAGAAATAAAGAGGATTATAATGTGTTAATTGAAGTTGGTGAAAAATCGAACCGTCAAATATTTAAAGTCCATTCAGTTATTTTAAATTTTCGATGTTCTTATTTTCGTAATGAGTTAGACAAGATAAGCTTTGATGAAAAAAATATTAAAAAAATTAGTAAACATCATGTCTCTGTTAATGTTTTTAAAATTATTATCGAGTAGGTTATATTTTTATCAATGAATTCGATTCCTATTTGATTCAAATATAATTTTGAATTTTTTTTAAATTAAATTATATAGGTATATTTACGGTGGTTTCGTTCGATTTGATAAAGTTGATGCCTCTACAATTCTTGATCTCTTAAGTACTGCTAATCAGTTTAGTCTCAAGGAATTAATTGATACTTCGCAATCGCAATTGATTAATAATCATAAATCGTGGATACGTTTGAATTTTGCTAAAGTTTATAAAATAAGTCTAGAAAGTGATAATTTTAAAGTTTTACAACAGTTTTGTAATGAGATTATTGCTGAACATCCAAGTGTTCTGTTTGATTCAGAAGATTTTACAAATATTTCAGAAAAATCTTTGATCTCTTTTTTAAACCTTGAGGCCGTGCATACGGATGAAGGCAAAATTTGGGATCAAGTTATTAGATGGGGAGCCGCTCAAAATTCTGGCCTAGGTTCTAATCTTGATGAATGGTCTGATGCAAATTTTTTAACTTTAAAGTCTATACTTGAAAATTGTCTACCTTATATCCGATATTCTCAAATTACTGCTGAAGATTTTATGAATAAGATATGTCCATATCAGCAAATCTTTGAATCTAAGTTATGGAGAGATATTGAGACAAAATTTACACAAAATAAACCTGTTGCTTTACCTTCTCAAGTAACCTCGGCTACTGTATTGTCACCAAAAAACACTGCAATTACAAATGGAAATAAGTCAATTTTTCTATTCCAAAATAATTTTACTATAACATCAAAAGAAAAAAAATGAGATTAAGAACGAAAATTCAACTACCTCCTCTATTACTACTTCAGCCACTTCTACTACGGCGTCATCTTTGCCAAAAAATGGTAGGAATAATTTGTTTTTTTAATAATGCACTATGCGTATCTGTTAATTGTATATTATTAATATATATTTTTTCGTATTTTCTAATTATGGAAGGTAAGCATACAGTAAATTATTTTACTAAAATTATTGAGTTTTATTTATTAACACAGATTTATATCCATTTTTATACTCAAAGAATGTAAGTATGAAGTAATGTAGCAAAAAAAAAAAAAAACTTATGATGTACAGTCAAAGCTCGATATAACAAAATCCACGGACTGAAAAATTCAAAGACCGATTTATATATACTTATACAAAAAAATTTCGTTACATCAGTATGCTATGTATTGTAAGAATTTGTCATCTCAAGCTTTTACTGTAGATCAAAAAATGTTCATATAGATCTTCTGTTTATTACTATAATAAATTACACAAATCTTTGAAGATAAATTATAGATTTTCGTTATCAACTTGTAAATTTGTCGAATATAAATTGAATTTATTTTTAATCAATTTTTAGATCGTGAGTACAAAGCACTTTGATAATATACAGTATTCTCTTCATCGATCTTTTATAACCATTTAACGTACATAAATTTACAATCATGTTTGATACTAGATAGTAAGTATTTATATTGGTTTATAAAATCTATATTATTATTATTATTTAATAGGTTTATAACATATTTTTTCTAATAAATAGTAAGTAAGTATTATATATATAATTATAAGGTAAAAATGAAAATAATTACAAATAGGGAAATAACGACCAAAACTTGAATATCTCAAACTATTATAGTTTGGGTTTGTCCATTCCCAAATCCCAAACTCTGGCCAAACTAATATCCCAAAAAATTATTAAATAATCTTTATTGAAAAAATAATGTGATTCTTACAGTATAATAATTGCAAAATATTAAGGTTATTTTTTCATAAATGATGATTGTCTTGGCGGGTTTTGGATTCATGTGCTTGGACAACAAGTCTAGTGACAGAAAAATGGATCGATCACATGATACCTCATATTTTATCAACTACCCACCAAATTTTCACCTGCACGTGATTTAAAACCAATCACATTTCGAAATCAGGTGTAGCATTAACACGATCAGGAAAATTCAAAACAAACGTTCGTTTCGTCAAAAATCGCTTATTTCTCGAAAAATTGTTATAGTAAACCATCTTCTGTGCATTAACAAAAAAGTTTTCCTTGAGCGATTTTACTATTAAAGCTCCTAAAGAATTTTTCGGTGCGATACACATAATCACGTGCCGGTGAAAATTTGGTGGAGATTATTTTATCGGACTAGTAGGCAGATCATATAAAAAAACTGATTTTTTGTCGCGACTATTCTTTCTTGATGAAAGATCTTGTTGGTTAATTTAGTGTCAAGCATCATCTCTGTAGTTAATAATAGTTGATAGCAGAATTCGTCGCATTGCCTAACTTCCCCTATTTAGGAAAATGAATTTGGTTTTGCTTAAATTAATGTAAACTTACTATTTTTCTATAAAACTAACCTAAACTTTCTAATTTTCTGTTTTCATTTGATTTAGCCTCTCAATCCTTTATAAATATTAACAATTATTTCAACTATAATGACTGTGGTAGTGCTAGAAGATCAGTTATTTGTGACGTTTGTGGTGAAGAAGGGCATGATAGAAGTACTTGTAGTTACAATTCTAGAAAGTCAACAATTACATGTGGAAATTGTGGTGAAGAAGGGCATGATAGAAGTACTTGTAGTTACAATTCTAGAAAGTCAACAATTACTTGTGGAAATTGTGGTGAAGAAGGGCATGATACAGTAGAAGTACCTGTAGTTACAATTCTAGAAAGTCAACAATTACTTGTGGAAATTGTGGTAGAGAAGGTCACAATCCACGAACTTGTAGCTATGGCACTAGAACGATTACTTGTGGAAGTTGTGGTAGAGAAGGTCATAATATACGTACTTGTAGCTACACTAATAAAGTAATTACTTGTGGAAATTGCGGTAAAGAAGGGCACAATGCACGTACTTGTAGTTACACCAATAGAGTAATTACTTGTGGAAATTGTGGTAAAGAAGGGCACAATGCACGTACTTGTAGTCAAAAACGCAGGTAGAAATAAAAACTAATTTTTAGCATTTAAAATATTGTTAGGTAAGTATTAGACAAGAAAATCGCATTTTTGGTAGTTGAGAATTAATGAACCAATTTTTGACAGTGAAATGTAAATACCTATATTATTTTAAAATTTCTATTGTTTTTAGTCAGTTTATCTATTGTCATATACTGTACGGTATTCTTTATTATTAAATTTCTATTTTATAATAATATATTTTTTCAATATGCTGCAATTTATTCCAGTTTGATTTTTTTTATTAATATCGTATGAATGTTTTTTGTCGTTATATTTTATTAATTATACCCACTTCGATGCATGTCACTCTCATTATAGTGAAAACATCAAAATATAAAAATTTTCACTATGTCGAGAGATTCACCGCATCAAGAGGCTTTTGATATACTAAATATATGAATACCTTATTTCATCGACAAGCCATTTTACCAACAGTCATTTAGCCGACACCACTCCAAGTGACAAATTCTAAATATATATCTGCAACTAATCAAATGCTAACCTAACTCTATGTGATGTCGGCTAAATGAGTTTGCGGTGAAATGACTGTCCAAGTGAGCTAAAATACGTACGTACGTATGTCAACATCATTTAATTTGTCATCGTTCATCAGGGTACAATAGCAAAATACAATTACGGAAACCACTATATGGGACCTCGCCTCGCTGCTCACGTGGTCTACAGCTGGTTCCTAGCATATTCAATCTATCTATTTTATTTCCCTTTTCTTTGATATCCGAGCTGTTCGGTTGGGCTATCAAAGTACTTATCTTCGACACCCGGGTTGTCCACCCGGGCTATCGACCATACCCATAACTACTGTCAACACACGATAATCCGAAGCCTTTGGATCTTTATCAAATTAGGATGATTGAAAATTCGGATGACGTACATAAGGATGTCTGGTATTAGGAATTATAATATATAGTATACCCTGTCAAAATCGATATACATGGTAGGCAAATTTTATATCTTTAAAAGGTCAGGTTTAAGAGGTCTAATAATTACAGTATATCAAAAACAAGACACGGCAGATTGATCTTTTATTAGATTTGACAGGTTATTGGTTTTGACAGGATCGGCTTGACAGGGTATACTGTAGTTTCATGAATTCTATTACAACGGTCGTCTTTATCCCAACATTTCCTCAAAAGCTAAGCATAACATGTTGCTTAACCTTTTAGTATAGATTATTTCTTTATAATCTCATTAAGGTCCTGAATTTAAAGACAAGTTTAAAATTTAAAGGCTAATAATTAAGGCTCCGGCCTACAAAACGCCATCATTTCACTAGCCTTATTTTTGTTGTCCTTAGTTGTTTGAAATATATATTTAAAATTGAGTTGCGTTAAATAGTGCTTGGATCCGTTCAAAAATCCGGTGGATTTTCTATTAGATATCCGTTCATAACGGATAACGAAAATATTTCTGCAGATAGCCGGATATCT